GAAGTCAAACGCATAAGAGTAACCAGTCTAGTGTTCACGAACCGCTATACGCTCGTTAGAAACACTGTAATACATTGTGATAACGGCAGCGGGGCGAGACTCGCTGGGAGATATCTATGATAATTCGCGGTCCTACAGGAGAACAGTTATAATGACGACGGCCGGTCCGTCTAGAATGACAAAATATACAGGGAAAAGAGACTAAGTCAACGATAGTAGTATATGCTTGGTGTCGAGGAGATAGTAATAGGCATTGTCGAATGGCGTAGCTCCGGTGATGCTTGGGGCTTCTCAGAAAACTCGGGCAAATTGGACACTTCGAACTTGTTCCGACACAGCGGGCAAGAGGTGCCTCGTAATCGTTGAGACCTTACAGTGAGCCACTCCTCGAGGCACTCGCGGTGGAAGGAGTGACCACAACACAAGACGAAATCGGGACCTTGTTCTAGACAGATACAACAGGGCTCGAGAGACACGGCTTCGAGTGAGGACTCGCGGCAAGGCCTGCCGTTCTGTCCGAGCAACATATCGATCTTACGGCCGACGCTCATTTCGCTCTTAGTCTCATGACGAACCTTCTCGGAGGGACGAGCTGTTGTTCTGGTGTGGAAGAAAAGCATGACGAGTTGAGTAGTAGTGAGTAATGTGAATGCTACAACAACGGGAATCGATATTGATCGAGGCGTAGCTAGTGAACAACACACATGTTCAATAGTAACGCGGGAGAGAACGAGTATTGTTGGCATCACTGTTCGGATAGCTGTGTCGAATCGTCTTGTAACGATTTTGTGTGGGACGTCCGAGTCTGTTCCGGTCGAGGCTATTCCAAAAGAAAGATGATATGAGGATGATCAAACCAGGGATCCCTATGAGTGAAGTAATTTGTGGAACTCGCGGGGACGAATCGCACAAGATAAAGCTCGCTAATTCATTAATTCGCTAATGCTCAAATTCGATACATTTTTTTATCTTGATACAATATCAGTTAGTCTGATTTCTCATTCACAAGTTATTGTTATCATGCTTTCTTCCAAGCTCACTTTGAACAACATCTCTGAGGAGGAGATCAAGGGCAAGAGAGTCCTCATGCGCGTTGACTTCAACGTCCCCATCAAGGAGGGTCGTGTTGCTGACAAGACCCGTATTGTCAAGACCATCCCAACCATCAAGCGCGTCATGGAAATGGGTGCCCAGAGCATCGTCCTTATGAGTCATTTGGGCAGGCCCCAAGGTCAGAGAAAGGAGGAGTTCTCTCTCGCCCCTGTTGTCCCTGTTCTCGCCGGTCTATTGGAGCACGAGGTTACCTTCGTCCCCGACTGTGTTGGTGATGTCGCTATCAAGGCATGTGCCGCCCCTGCTCAGGGAAGTATCATTCTTCTCGAGAACCTCCGATTCCACATTGAGGAGGAGGGCAAGGGTGTCAATGCTAACGGCGAGAAGGTCAAGGCTGCTGCTGAGGATGTTGCCGCCTTCAGAGCTGATCTCACTAAGCTCGGTGACGTGTTCGTGAACGACGCCTTCGGAACTGCCCATCGGGCTCATTCCTCCATGGTCGGCGTTCAGCTGCCCGTCCGTGTTGCCGGTCTGTTGATGGCCAAGGAGCTCGAGTACTTCGGCAAGGCTCTTGAGAACCCTGCTCGTCCCGTTCTCAGCATTCTCGGTGGTGCCAAGGTCGCTGATAAGATCCAGCTCATCAACAACATGCTCGACAAGGTCGATCTTATGATTATTGGTGGTGGCATGGCCTTCACTTTCGCCAAGACCCTCTACGGTACCAGAATCGGTGGCTCCTTGTACGACGCTGAAGGTGCCAAGATCGTCCCTGAGTTGATGGAGAAGGCCAAGGCTAAGGGTGTTGAGATCCTTCTCCCCACTGATTGGCTCTGTGCTGATGCCTTCTCTAATGATGCTAACACTAAGGTGTGCACTCAAGAGGAAGGTATCGATGATAAGTGGATGGGTCTCGATGTCGGTCCGGAGTCCACCAAGCGCAGCATTGAAATGGTCAAGAAGGCCAAGACCATCGTTTGGAACGGTCCCCAGGGCGTCTTCGAGTTCCCCAAATTCGCCACTGGTTCTCTCGCCGTTTTGGATGCTGTTTGCGAGGCCACCAAGGAGGGTGCAATCTCTATCATCGGAGGTGGTGATACTGCCGCTATGGTTGAGCAGGCCGGCAAGGCTTCTAAGATCTCTCATGTCAGCACTGGCGGCGGAGCCTCTCTTGAGTTGCTCGAGGGTAAGGAGCTTCCTGGTGTTGTTGCTCTTAGCGGTAAGAACTAAGTCTCTATTGTTTACGATATAGCAGCAGCACAGAAGTTGTCGCGGATTGCGACTCTGTTACTTCCACATACAGTTTTTTGGTGAAATGCCGTTCAAAGTGTAATACGTATTGAGTTGTTGGAGTGATTCGGGTAATGTACTCACCAAATATTGGGGCAGCTATGCCACTTGAATGTGTGCCTCAATACAGTCACTTATAGGACAATATGAGGGCTACCTTCGTTAGCCATCCAAAGTAATTCCGATTTCCACGAAATTATTTGTGGTCTAAATGCCATAATTAGACCATCTCTGAGTGGCATAGCTGCCCCACTCCGATGTACTGAGGCATGTCGTTGGGTTGAATAGCTTCGTCGAGATAAATTGATTATCCTGAGGTAAATCTTCGAGTGGCATAACTGCCCCACCGACAGAAATCTATCATACTCGGGCGCACCCACTAGTAAATAGCCTTTCACCCTGAGTCGTAAAGACAGCTAAATTGAGGCACTTTCGGTAACGCAAAATCATCGGGGTGAATAAAAACACTGTCGCATTAGGGCTCCATCGACCCGAAGCCAATAGGAGCCCGTACGAACGGGCAGTAAACTCGATGTGTCTGATGAGTACACGAGTTAAAGCAAAGCTATCACTATATATGCACTGAGCGCGGGGAAAGCAACATCCCGCTTGATCTTTCCGGTAGGCATGCCGCTGAGAGGTACCCATCTCCACCCTAGGAGACGTACTCCGTACTAAAGGAGACGACTGAGCAGTACATGCCTCAATGATGCTCCGGGCAACTGCAAAAAATGCGGGGGAATATCAACCTACTACTTCGACTCCTCGTGGAAACCGACAAGGGTAGGGGATAGAATAGTAATATTGTGTCAGTGAGAATGCAACCATTCCGTTGTTAATCAAACCACAGAGTGATGATGAAGTCAAACGCATAAGAGTAAACTGTCTAGTGTTCACGAATCGCTATACGCTCGTTGGAAACACTGTAATAACGACAGCGAGGCAACTCACTGGGAGATATCTATGATAATTTGCGGTTCTACAGGAGAACAGTTATAAAAACGACGGCCGGTCCGTCTAGAATGACAGAATATACAGGGAAAAGAGACTAAGTCAACGATAGTAGTATATGCTTGGTGTCGAGGAGATAGTAATAGGCATTGTCAAATGGCGTAGCTCCGGTGATGCTTGGGGCTTCTCAGAAAACTCGGGCAAATTGGGCACTTCGAACTTGTTCCGACACAGCGGGCAAGAGGTGCCTCGTAACCGTTGAGACCTTACAGTGAGCCACTCCTCGAGGCATTCGCGGTGGAAGGAGTGACCACAACACAGGACGAAATCGGGACCTTGTTCTAGACAGATACAACAGGGTTCGAGAGACACGGCTTCCAGTGAGGACTCGCGGCAAGGCCTGCCGTTCTGTCCGAGCAACATATCGATCTTACGGCCGACGCTCATTTCGCTCTTAGTCTCATGACGAACCTTCTCGGAGGGACGAGCTGTTGTCCTGGTGTGGAAGAAAAGCATGACAAGTTGAGTAGTAGTGAGTAATGTGAATGCTAAAACAATGGGAATCGATATTGATCGAGGCGTAGCTAGTGAAAAACACACATGTAGAAACGTGGGAGAGAACGAGTATTGTTGGCATCACTGTTCGGATAGATGTGTCGAATCGTCTTGTAAGGACCTTGTGTGGGACGTCCGAGTCCATTCCGGTCGAGGCAATTTCAAACCAAAAATGATATGAGGATGATCAGACCGGGGATCCCTACGAGTGAAATAATTTGTGGAACTCGTGGAGACGAATCGCACAAGATAAAGCTCGCGAATTCACTAGCTCAGATTCGATACATTTTTCTATCTTGATACAATATCAGTCGGTTGAGTGAACGTTCAATCGCCGATGCAAAGCACCTCGCTCATCGCAGTCCCACCCACTTGTCGAACTCGACAATCCCGCCCTTGGGCCATGAAATGATCCGTGATACCGCGAGGTCCCGATGGAGAGTGGAGCCATAATTTCTGCCATCAGCAGACCCACAATCATCCAACTCACCAAGGGACCTGCCTCACCCACTCAAAGAAAGAAAAAAAATACAACGGTCCAAGTGGACTAACAACTATACCGGACTTATGTCGTCTCACAATCGCTACCCTTCTAACCACCGCAACATCAATTAGGGAACAATCGTACATCTCGGGCGCGCGCTCCTAGCTCGGGATTTGCACCTCCTAGCACTTCGTGCCCTCCAAGACATTTGCCGTTTCATCAAACAACAACACATGAGCATGATATCGTATGCTTCCTCCGAGTCATTTATCCCATGAAGTATATCGCTACGCTAACCTTACGAGCTCTCATGCTCTCCTGACAAGAAGGACGATAGATGGTGCTCACTGCGAGTGGATCAATCATACGAGTTCGCCCATTTTGTGTTCCCTCACGCGTCGTCGGGCTACGTGAATCGAATAGGTGCGTGCGTGCAAGGTAAGCCACGTCACCGTTGTGCTCATCGCAAGGAGCTGGTGACCAGTACTGTTGTGCTGAGTGCTTAGAACATGTGTATGACCCGCCCATCAACCTCTCAGATTATGAAACGGGAATAACTGTTCCAATCAGTCATAAAGTTATACTGTTTCAGTATTGTTGTGATTTACCAGATGGTTGGTATCATCATTTCACCCCTGCACTCGTGTTGAGCCCTCACCCTTTAACTTTCTAGGTGAGAGATGGAGAGACCACCTGCGTCGACGGCCTCCCCCACTGGCACATACGGCCAACTGTTCTTATCTCCCCTGAGTCCGATTAGTGGTGGACATCATCAATTCGGTGTTCTCGTACCGTTTCTTTCTACCTTCTGCTTGTGCGCTGACCAGTCTCAGTCGTGTTGGTCCTCTTTTTACAGTGAAGTTACAAAGAGTACTCTACGATTGCTATTATTTTTGCATCAATAGCTGCTACGTCCTTGAGCATTAACCCTTGTCGGTATGAGAACACGCTCATAACATCTACTCCAACTCGACAACGCTCCAACAACAGTAGAAGGCTTAAAAATGCTATAATTCTTAAAATTATGCTCATCGTAGTTTTGCAGATTGAAGTCAATCATTTACCGTACACGTACAAGGTATCGGTAAATTCTATTATTGGCAATCGCGGCTGGAGGTCACCCTAGTATACATATTAGCGTCTTGATTGCTCGATAACGTAACGATCCGACTTGCAGCGACGAAATAAAAATAGAGAAGAATAGGAATCATTGTGAATGCTGTTGGTCTTGACTGGACTCCGCTTGTGAATCTTTCTCAGGGTGTCTATTCTCAAAATGATGGACCTGTTCGAAAGGGAGTGGTATGACAACTTGCCAACCACACAAGCCTACCGTAATTTCAACATCAGCTATCTTATGCGTAGGACCGTCAGCCAGAATTCGCTGAACCGATTCAGAGTCGCCCATAAGAACGAAACCAAGAGAGGCTGGCCGCGATCGGGTTCTCCTGCAAACAACTATTAAAACGAATCTTTCAAAGGCTTACGTCGTATCGTGCGGTCCGGATTGCAATTGCCTTGAATGCGCCACCAGCACCTTACAAACCTAAATTGATAACAATTTCATATCATGCGTCAACCCAACTAAAATGATACTATAACAACCGAACTCAGCAGTGTTGGAGTAGGAATATACGTTCGCATTCCTCAGCTGAGCTCGAGCGTTTCCTCACTAACTATACAAGTTTACAAATGAATTACGGTGAAAATGTAAGAATTCCGAGAATTAACTAACATTTGTGGTTGAGTATGTACATATTTTCCTACGATGGAATTAAGTCTCAGTTGATCTGGATATTACTACCCCACAACCTCGAAGTTACCACAGCATAAAAAGAGTTTAATTCCTAAATATACTAAAACCGATACCATACCGAGCTCATGTAGTTTCACGTGAAGTGGCGCCGCAATACTCTGTGAAAAACCCGACTTTTCCACTACTGTTTTTTCATATCACAGATGAAACTCCAATGATAAAACCAACCCTGAGAACTCTCACCTGTCCATATTCTTCGAAATATTCTCGTAAAAACACCGGCGACTTGAAGCCAAACTTGTGTATGCGTCGTACAATAAATATGCAATTCTCATCCTCCTCATCCAGCTCTTGTAACAGTGTTCTGACCAAACATGTTACGCACTATGAAAGATACCCCAGCTCACCTTAAAGTGTTTCCGCTCTCTTCGTGCCCCTGCTGCTCTTGTTGAATCGTCGTTTGGTGAACATGTTTACGATGGTGATGATGACGGCTCGGTCCTTCTCCACGTTGCTGGTGCTCTGCATTAGCATAGCCAGATTGGAATCGTCTTTCAGGTGGACTCCTATACGTAGACGCTGCCGATCCTAGGCTGTCCCCAGTGCCAGATGGCTCCGGCTTGTTGTGACGGATGTCAGCGTAACATAGATTATCAGGATCAACCTGAAATTAATTTTCCCATACCATAACTTCCACCATTCTTATCACGTTTTCCGCGTCCCTTACGAAATACCCGACCGGTGGTAATATCATATTCCCAGACGGATCTCTTTGAAGGACCATTGGTGCTCCTGACACACGACGAAGTCCCTTCCCACCAAAATTCTACGCATTCACATGCCGTGATATGAAAAACACATTTCACCCTGCAGAAAACAATCGTGTTATCGGGAATGAAAACCTATATACATGGAGTTTTACACCACTTCACGTTAAACCCGCTAAACTCCAATACAACTCGATAGAAACAACCTTCTCCCGTGCGCTATCCATCACGCGATAATACTGTACTATTAGATTTTTAGCTTCATACCATGCCATTTTATGATATAAAACTGATGCATGTGTTGGACCAATAGTGAGAATAGGGAACGGTCCCACTTTAAAAACTTTCCGGTGAAAACCAGTTTCGGAGTTTTAAAAAAAGTTTCCCATATCGAATTTCTAAAATCCAAAATTCTCAAGTGTTTCTCGCGGAAAATTCAGTCCATCTTAGTATTTTCAAGAAGAATTTTCCCGTAAAAAGGTCCTGAACAATATGAAAAAAAGCGCTAGGAATAGCAGGAAAAAGCAAACATGTGTTACAAAATAATGGAGTTCCACCACCCTAGTGATATGAAAAACACTAGTGAAAAATATATTTCACGACTATTGCATATCACCTTTTCACAGAGTTTTACGCCACTTCACGTGAGGCGGGTATAACTCCTCTTTATCAAAGTCTACGTGCTAAAATCACCCATTTTCATCGGTGATTGCATCTGCATGGTAACAATATAAAAATTGAGGAAATTTTAAAAAGTTCCTTTTGGTGGCTATACATTTCTACCCGAATTGGTATGTTAACTCCTGCAGTAGTAAGTCTGCTGAAAAAGCTCAGCTGAAAAAAGCGCGGTAAAATAACTAACCCCATTATCACCCATATTCATCGGTGACTGCGGCATTCCCCTTCCATCAGATGATAATGAGCGTATACTGTTGGTTGGTGATCCTCCTCCTCCACTACGTATCATACCAGGATGATAGGCACCACCATAGTAGGCTGCCGCGGCTGCTACGGGTGATGGGGACGGGTAACGCTATAATGACAACAACAAGAATATGATACTACTATATAACGAGTAGCACTCCAATATGAGTCCATAGACGATAAACATCCCATAGGCCCTCCCCTGTTAGCCTCCAGTTAGACTCGTTTGAAGCCTTGTAAGCCATCATAATACAGCCCCCTGTATTACATATGCCTGCTGTTGTTGCGGGGGTATCGCGCCATATGGTAGCTGGTAAACTGGAGGAGCATACTCCCCCATAGATCCTTGTTGCTGAGGGACCTGAACACATCCATAATAACACGTAGAACATAATATATTTCATAACAGGTTCACAATAAGAAAGCAAGAGTGATGACAGTATGTATATAATCGAGTCGTCGTGTTGTATACCCTACAGATTGTGAAAGAGGTGATGCATAAGGCGCTCCCACTCCAGTGTAGACTGGTGACTGTATCGGCGCCGCATAAGCCTGTGGCTGAGAAGGGACCACAAACAGTTTTTACATACCACTCCTCGGCAAACTTACATAGCCTATAGGAGCGAAGCTTCCTACTGAACGCACCGAGCTGGCGGGTGACTGAAATTAAACTTCACTTACTCCCCCCTATTCCTCTAAACTACCTGTGGGGTCATCTGTGGTGTGCCCGGATGATGATATAAAGTTTGGTAGTATGGTACAGGGGTACCAGGCTGGGACATGGGGGTGCCTGGTTGGGGGGGACATGTTGCGATGCGAACAAGATCCGATGGGAAGCCTTTCTTGTTGTTGTTGTTGTGGATGAGCATATGCGTTGTTGTTACCATACATTGTATTATAGTGGAAGAGCCTTTACGACACTAAAGAGAAACACTTCCCATACCACATATCGACGACCACAGTCACTTGGGTTCAAGTGAATAACTCCATGAAAGTTGATCCCAGAGTAATTTCGATTCGAGTTTAACTCTGAGACATGGAAAGGCTCCCTACCTAAGGCCATTCAGTTTACAGATTCCGAAATCTCATAATCGCTTCTCATACGCATAATACGACGCGAGTCAATGGGCATGGGGCCTGTCACTCCTCGCGGCAGAGTGAAGAATGAAGATTTTCCAGTTATGATCAAGTTATGCTATCCCATAGAGCTCGCTTCCAGTAGGTTGAGCTAGGCTTTTCTCCTAAAATGTCATCGAGTAGTGCGGAACCCCATCGCGCCAGTTGTCTTCCGGAGCTCGATGAGTTACTGGCAAGGCCAGGAAATCGACATTGCGCTGGTAGAAGAGCATTGTGTGTGTCGGGCTTGATGTTTTTGTGAGAGTAGATTGCGGCCGGGACAGCCCCCGCTGGGCAAGCGTCAACTTGGGCGTCTTCCTTTGCCGCGATTGCGGCAGTTTCCATAACCGTCTCGGAGTCAATGTATCCATAGTCCAGAGCCTAGTTTTGGATTCATGGCAGAACACGTACGTAATTGGCGGCCTGAATCTTTCACCGTCGAAGTTTCGCGCGCTTCTCCATCTTATACGACAGAGGCGCGGTAAACGGGGAACTCCGTAACGCCTGATAGATCTGCCTTAATACATTGAGTCGTTGTCAACGACATGGAAGATTCTCTGCTACCTCTAATAGGCTCTGCGAACCGGACCAAGGTGAATGGTTTGTCACAGGCTCGATTGGCGATACATCAAGTGACTGCATCATTCCACATTCAGCTCGAGGTGTGCCTGTGATTTCCGTGTCCCCCATTATAGCAGACCTCTCTTGAGATCCGGCATCGTGAATGAAGAATCCAGCGGATGAATCCAAGCCTATATAGGCAACATTAGGGATGATAAAGAAGGAAATCTACCATTATGCTCCGTGCCATGATCGCCATCCACTCCTGAATAAAGTGATCGCCCGGGTCCCCTCTGCACATGGTCTTACCTTCGAAGCTCTGTTGAAGGATGGCATCATTATGCGCACAAGGTTCCCCGTCTGAAACTGCTTCCGAATCGGACGAATCAGAATCATCATCCGATTCACTGCACCAGCTACTAGCTGAATCGTCCAGCACCGTACGATCATGTACTCTATCGAAACCTGAATTTGTGGTAAAAATGTATGTATCCTCATTTTGTGCATGAGCCGTCCATGATGAACGAAAACTTACTGGCTTCATCTCCACTGGAATCCGGCTCGACAGCTAGAGAATCCTCAGGTAGTAAGCTCTCCGACATGTCATCATAAAAGGGGGCGATTACTCGTGCTCCTGCTGGAAGTTGTCGTTTACGGGGGCCAGCCGTAGCGCGAACCATATCCACGAGGGCGCGACGGCGTCGATTGTAGTCTTTATCCACTTCGAGTGCTGTGCTGGTTGTGAATCTGAGAGCAGAAAAGCGGTAGATACGCTCCACAAAGAGAAGGTCATTCACTTGGGTCGACCAGCGGGAGCAGATCCTAATTGCTGGACTTTCTCCAAGCTTTCTTCTAAGGTGTTCTCGAGTAAGCGAATTCCGACACTATGTCGACAATTGCCGAATCTTGAGTCGAAACACGTACAGGGATAACCGTTCTCTGTACGTGAAACGACCCGGATTTGTTTCATTGCTCTTTTGTAGGACTCCCAGTTTCCCCATACTGCACTATCCTGGGAGCATCTTATCCACTTTTCGTGGAAAGCACTGACGAGCTGATCTAATCGATCTCCTCCTCCTACGAGCTCGATAAGGAAATCACTCGGGATATAATAGTTTTCCCCATCACGATCAGTGAAGATATGTTTAGAGCTTTTAGAGTTTATCCATCTTGACGCAGCGAGCAATTGTGCTCGAGACGGAGCGCCATCGTAAGCGGTGTCATCATCAGTAGAATATGAAAAATCACGGCATGTATCGATGATATCGTGGATCAACTGTGACGGTCGGGTTCCCGCAATTATTTTACCTGAAAAATGGAGACATAAGGTGGATTGCTCCCATGTATACAGAGAAGCAACCGCTGTACTACATACCACGTTTGAGGCCGGAATTTACTCCTTCCAGAGAATTATTATGTTTAGCTAAATCCTTTCGCAAGCCATAGACGGCTTGGCTCCAACACCCTCGCTTTACGAGCCACTGCTTGACGAAGTAGCTCATAAGCGATGGGAATCGCGTACGCCAGTATGATACCATCATCTGGGATGCCACGGCAAACATGTTATGTGTAGGTGCTTGCTGGAGGATTCGCAGATCAGCTCGCAGCTGCGAGCGAAGATCCGTTGCCTCGGAATCGCTTCCCACGGCTGATGCTGTGATGTCCGAACGCGCCCGCTTATCCACAGCTCTCAACATGTGTACAAAGCACACTAGGCGAATAGTTCTCGAGACCTCCGCGGGATCCTCGCTTGGCCATTCCAATGTCGCGCCCATCTTGATGAGTCCTCGTGGTCTAGTTGGGCCATGAGCCTGAGGAAAAAGAATACAGAGAAATGTCCCGAGCTGAATTCTATCTCACTCTTCTCCATCCTCGGGTGATGCTGCTTGCTCCATCGGCTAGCAGAACCCTCGGCTGATGGTGAACACCCAATGACCGGGCTGCGTCTCTTACTGCAATGAAGAGCGACTCGGCCGATGTGCTGTCCTCGCTCAAAACGTAGCCAATACTTAACAGTCCGAACCGGGAAGGTGGACGTAAACATCCACAGACTACCACAACAAGGCCCAGCCAGTTCAGTTTATGTGTATAATCGATAACCATAGTATCTACCATTGTAGTGTTTCCATTTTCTTGGATTAAACGCTTTGTAGAGAAAAATGCCTCGAATCTTGAGGCATTACAGTAGCCTATACAGTACGGTTGGTCCTCGTCAGATGGAATGATACTATTCTGCTTACAGAACTCCTCAATTTCCAATAGAGTGTCGCCAGACTGTACGCGATCTTCGCCCCGCATAGCTTTTTTAACTGTGTATCGTCTTCTAAATATTTGTTGTTTCACAGCCGGTGTAAGCTTCTTGATGAGCTTCAGTTTGATCAGCTTTCTCTCAGTGCGGCAAGCTGGAGTACCATCAAGGACATGATCATCGATTATTCTCTTGCATTCTTGACTAAGGGGTATAGGTCTCCGTGAGAAGGGCTGATTGCCGGTTGCAGTCTCAAGTCTCGTGTGTTCCTCGTGTTCTGAGTATGGGAGTAGGATCTTGTAGATACCACGAGATGACCAGGATATCTGGGCGGTATAACTACACGAAGCGTATCCTCTACGTTCCTTGAAGGCACAGCGATAGTCTCGAGTGACATCGACCGTCTTCTTCCTTACATACGAGTTACGCTTACACATCTTAGAGCCAACGATTTCATTAAGTCTGACCTCAGCATCCGACAACTCATCACATTGAAGAACCTCAACAACCCGATACTTCACCGCAGCAGTACGTCCTTTCTTCTGAATTTGACGGTGCTGAGGATCATCAGCGTCCGTAACCTCCGCCTCCGTGTTTAACAAAGAAGTAGCCAAGGAACTAGCCTCCAAAGCCAAGTTAGCACGAGTGCCGCTACTCGATTCTATACCGAACGCACGTTCGGCCACATCCGCCATAGCTTTCATGAAGACCTTGAATTTCTCACGGTCTTTACCTCCAGACATTACAAGTGCGATGCAAAATAACCTTCATCCTTGTATTCCCCATTGATGCCTTGTGCCAACTCAACAGTCGAAGAAGTAGACAAAGAAACAGATAATCCAAAAACCCACGAAAACTGGCGATAGCTATTCCCCATCTATCCTCGCGGCAGGGACCCTGTGTCTTTCTTGCACGCCCACAGAGATTTGTGGCGAGCAAGAATTTTTTGTTGCGGACAAGAAAGATTTTTGTGCTAAAAATGAGATTTTTTTGTGGCGCGCGCGAAAATTTTCCCTGTCAGCGGGAGTGATATCAGCACGTAATGAAATAACATAAAAACATCATGTGCGCGGATCGAACTGGTGCGGTTCATAAATTCCAGAATTGCAGATCGATGCTACACCACTATGCCATCCATCTTGGCAATCTGGCTTCCTTCACATCCGAGGTATGCTACTAGTCTGACCCTCACTGATCAGAAATCGTCTGCAAATTCTCAACGGTATACTACACAAGGTTGCAGTTAAGGAACCTCATCTCAAAATAGTATCTCCTCCACTACACCAAGAGTAGTTATTGAAACCCTGGGTTAATGTCGGACCTATTACACCAGAAAGGCTCCTTAAGGTGGATCTCAAATCACAGTGAGGGTTCTCATGCTACCTTGCCTTTGATCATAAGCCCTTGCGGCGTTACTTCGACAACCCAGCTCCAGACACACACAATGATTTCGGAGATTAAGAGTGTCTTCAACGGCGAGTACTATGTCTTGTTAATGGAGTTTCATACCAGCCACTGGGTGGTCCTATACAATACTAAACTTGCTTAAAATCCTCTCTCAGTTGAGTACTGTGTACGGCGCCACTGTTCGAAACCTGATGCGGGTTGTGGTGTTTTCCACACCTTTAGGGTTTGTATAGTCAGTCTATGTATTGCAGCACTATACGGGAGCTCTGTGCCTCTTGTCACTGGTTTGTAACGGAGCAGTGTACTCTAGCAGTAAATTGGTTACAGTGGTGGAGGAATATATGTTCACATTCCTCAGCTGAGCTCAGGAGTTTCACCACTAATTATAGAAGTTTACGTACGAATTCAGGTAGGAGTGTACAGAAACCAACGAGAATTTCTCAAAATTTCTTCAGAATTTTCATAGTGTCACCAACACATGTATTTGATTTCCCAGTGATATGTATACAACCACATGCTTCCTATTCTCTCACAAGTTGAGTCGCGTTGTAGTCTTCATGGTTACGTAGTTTTCATCTCTTTGAGATGTTTAACAACGTGCTGAATTACCTCACTAGTAACAAACTAGTAAGTTCCTATCAAGTAGATAAGGACCCGGCCTGCTATGGAAATGAGCTGCGTTGGAAGGTACTAGTTTAAGAGAGATATCGTAAATTTATTAAGAATTTTCCGAGTGGTGACAGTGGGAAACTCCAAGCACTATGTATAGGGTTTCACTCCATAGATTTATATATTATTGCTATTTTCATAGATTTATATATTGCAGTTTCACTCGTTTCACGGGAAGTGACTCAATACCCTGCGGAAAAAGCCAACATTCGCGGTATGTAGTAGTCGTGAAATAAATTTTTCACTAGCGTTTTTCATATCACTAGGGTGGTGAAACTCCATTATTTTTCATCATCGTTTATATATATCATTTCTATTGTCAGTTTGCGGTAAATCGATCTTCTTTGGTTGCACCGGTATTCATGTTTTCAATAGGAAGGAAGTGTCCCTAGTAAAGTTTTAATTTTCAGTTGTATAACGCGAAGCGACCAAAGTCTAGTGTAACAGCACCGATGGGGGGAGGCCCGGCTGGAGATGATACTTGTCTAACAGTGTTCCTATTCGAGAAGAAAACGCTTGATACGAAGCAGTACCCTAAGGATTACAGGAATAGGGTGGGTCGGAGAGATCCCGGGTTCGATCCCTGCACATGTCATCATCAGATATTATCATCGTTAAATAAAGAAGCAACCGTCCTACAGCGACTACGGCATCCAAATATCCTATCTGTGATTGGTAAGAGCTCCTATGATGTTCTAGAGGTGTGGTATGAGCGTAATTTTATCAGATCCACTGAGCGACGATCGTCAGAGTATGGCGTTTGTTACGAGACGTGTTACTCAAACTCTGGGCACCATTTTGGCAACTGATAGGAAACAATTGTCAGTGATAGAGATACAAACAGGTAGTGTCAGCCGGCTAATCACGTGGACGCCAGGACGTACAATGCTGATATCATGTGTTGGAGGAATATATGTTCGCTTTCCTCAGCTCAGCTCGGGAGTTTCCTTGTTAATTATACAAGTTTACATATGAATTCGAGTAGAAGTGTATAGAAACCAACAAGAATTTGCCGAAATTTTTTTCAGAATTTTCATATTATTAACAACACATGTAGTTTTAAATATATGCGCATATATTGTATCGGTCATTCGATCATCAGCAATACCGGGAATATGGTCTCAGGTTTACTGGATGTTGCGTCGGCTCTAGAGTTTCTTCATCATGCTAATACTTGTCACCTTGGTCTGTGCCCTAGTGCGGTAAGTGATGTTTATAATATGATTTAGTTCATGTGAGTGTAATAATTCAGATCTTCATCACTCCAAATGGTCGATGGGTGTTGGGTGGAATGGCGTATAGTCAATCACCAGTAGAGCCGGGTAAGATGGTGCCGTGCCAAGTGAAGTTTAGAGGAATAGGAGGGATGGCTGGTGGAATGGTATTAAACGAGCCTCCCATAAGGTACACCCGGGTTCGATCCCTGGGGGGTGCATTTTTATCCACAGATATGCGGCTCCTGAGATGACCACCGGCTACAGCAGTTCTTGTGGGCAGTGCAGTGACGTGTTTAGTTTCGGCCTCATAGCGTAAGTACATACCACGCTGATTCGAATTCCTGTCGTGTGTGAATTTTTTTTCTTATTTTTTCTGCTTCTTTGTTTTTTCTCTTTTTTCTGTTTTTTTTTCTTATTTTTCTGTTTTTTCTGTTTTTTTCTGTTTTTTTCGAATTTTTTCGTTGCTTGTTGTTCCTTTCTTTGGGAGAGGATAAAGCCTCCGAGCTTATCGTTGGTTGTCCTTTACTCTATCTCTTTCGGACCTGCTCACTAACACATGCATAAACCGATACCCTTTCTTCTCATATTTATATGCACATTATCGAGGTTATATTTTCCTCAGGTACGAGCTCTTTTCTAGGGATCGTCAACCTCTGCTCTCGCGAGTCACTCCTGGGGCTGATCCCACTGTTCACCAAAGGGAAATTCAGTAAGGCTTATTTCACATCACTCTACTATGCAGCTTTTGAGTGTTAGGAGAGCACTGCCGCTGAAGCAAGGAGATAATCAAATTGACAACGCACTGCTTTTCACTGTAGTTTACTGTGATGGGGGGGGGGTGGTTTTCGGTTGAACTAGATGATTAGTGAGGAAATTTAGGAAAATTATTGTTGGTTTCTAAGTTCGAGTAGAAGTAGACAGAAACTTTATGTATGTGAACTTGTGCTCGGGTGAAGAAAGCGAGCATAGATTCTAATAATACTAGGAAGACTCTCCGAATTTGATCTCCTCTGTGTGTGTGTTAGTTACTCCAGTCGATGACGGTGTTGGAGCCAACTAGGAGGTGTACGATGGAAGCATTCCTAAGCTCGGAATATTTCAATGATATTAATATAAAGGTAACCTGGGGAGGATGGCGAGCAGCGAGGGATGAATAGTTGTTGGTGTTGCTATTGCACGAGTTGTTTTTATGCGAAAATGTGCACATGTGTCGCTGCCAATATAAAAATTTTGGGAAAATCATTGGTGGTTTCTGAAAACTCTTGTTTTAACTCGTATGTGAACTGCTATAGCGGAGAAACTCTTGAGCTTTGCAGCTAAGGAAAGCGAACGTATATTTCAAAACTGATGGATAAGCAGACCCTTGTAGTGGTGGTAAATTTGTCGCGAATTTGTGAATTTATTGCAGGCCCTGAGGTTCCTAGAAACGCTTTCGGAGAAGGACGATGCGGCTCGGATAGCATTCTTGAGAGGTAAACATCTGATGGGAGAAATACAGCACTTGGAAGTCACTTACATTTTTCCCCAAAATTTTTTGATAATTTACCAACTTTTTGTGTAAAAATGGAATTTTTGTAACGTTTTTTCCGATTGGTTTTAACGAACTACTGGAAATTTGAATTATCTTCTTAAAAATGTAGCGAAGCGAAGACAACATTGACGTGGATTTGTCGTGGTGGTGCTGGTTTATCGTAATCACTTCGGGGTGCTTCTGGTAGGATGAGTTTGTTGAGTAGTTATGGCTTTTCAGGACTCCCTCGACTGCTGAGCGATAAAACGTGTCCGCTTGTTGCTAGTCCACATCTTGTAAGGGAACGAATATTACCTCCACTTGCAGATGTGAGAATCTTTTGTGCATGCGTGCAACAGCAGCAGTAGTTGTCGTTGTTATATGGTAATTCTCAGCTCGCCCTTTCCTTCTCCGCATTGTGGTCGGCGACATTACCGTGTTTGTTGATGGCGTTGAAATACGAAGGAGTTTGCGACCCGCAGTATTTTCAGGCGAGAATATGGCCTCGAGTGAAGCCACTATTCAGCGCGAAGGAGATATCAGTTGGTGAGTTTAGGAAAAAGGAGTTTTTGTATGTTATTATAGTGCGTGTGAATTTGATATGCAAATGTAGGAAATATGCGTAGACTCTCATAAACTATGTTAACATTGGAGTTTCACCACCCTAGTGATATGAAAAACGTATTTCACGACTACTGCATATCACCGCGAATATCGCATTTTTCACCGAGTTTTACGACGCCACTTCACGTAAAACGGGTCGTGAAACTCCATTGTTGAACATGTGATATGATAAAAGTAACCTCTCGAGGTTGTTATTGCGACATATTGTTCATTATCATTAATTCCTAACACGCAGTTGCATATCAAGTTGGCACGTATCGTATCGTTAGGATTCTGATGCTGCTGGTGTATTAGCATTGTCATTTCAGAATGTGTAACGATTCTAATCCGGAATCTTGATCTGTTTATCAACAACATAACAGCAAATGACGCTAGTGAGGTTCTAGTACCCTTTGTGTTAAGGTGTATCGAGTTGAAGGAGGATACTATCATTCAGGAGGTAACACGTGCTTCTGGTTAGTGGTGTAATGGAGTTTCATTTGCGATGTGGAAAACACTAGTAAAAACTCGTGGAAAACGATTGTGTTATCGGTCGCGGAAATATACACGGAATTAACATGGAGTATTACGCCACTTCATGTCAAATGGTTGAAACTTGTATGAAATGTTATATAATTATATTTTATCGAGAATTGTTTTATATGGATGTGAACAGATATTGAAATAACAATATCATTATAAGAGGTCTTTCTTGCCGACTAGAAAAAGGTCCACCTGCCCGTCCCCCTAATTTTGAATAACTAGAGTTATACGATTAATCATATACCATAAGAACGCCTTTTCTTCGAGTTCTACATGAGTTTGTATCCAATCATTGCATATGTTCAGCAGCGCGGTTTGGTTTCTTGGGATGCTCAGCAAGAGAGCTCATTTGGGAGATGCTGATGAGTTCCTATACCGCTTGGGGGTATATTACGTATTTCATTATGAATCGTTTTAGGTGTTTACTCGTTTGCCTCTACTACAACGACGATTCGAGTATACTACTTTGCAGCACGTCTTGTTGCCGAGAATGTTGAGGATGCTGACTGACGCTAATGAGGGTGTCTCCACCAGAATCCGATGTTTGATCATAAAATGCATTCAAGAAATGCTTCCGGTGAGCTTACTATTTTTCTCACTGTGTGGAAATATGTGCACATGGTCAACTACATATGTTGGAAATATGTGAGAAATTATCGTTGGTTTTTGTGCACTTCGTGTGTTGATTTTTTTAATGTAGTGAGAGAGTTCACGAGCTCAGTTGAGGAAACCAAATATATATTCTCTGGATAGTCAATTCTATATGTTGGTGACTATGTGAAAATTATGAAAATTATTGTTGATTCTTGTACATTTTTTCCTAGGATTTTAGTGAGGAAATTCTCAAGGAAGGCGAACATATATTCCAAAACTTCACTGAGGAGGGACGGTTGTTCTCCTCAGGTTCTGGACAATACGACTGTTGTTGGTGTTCTGTTGAAGGCGCTTACTGAGACTACTGGGACGGATGGTTCTGCGCAAGTGAGTTATGAAGCGTGGGAGAATATACAATCACATGTGTTGGTGATAATATAAAAATTTCCGAATTTGTATGTAAATTCCTAAATTGATGAGGAAATTATTGAGCTCAGCTGAGGGAAGCGAACACTGGAGTTATGGAATCAGTTGATTTTCTTTATCGTATGATTTTTCACATTGCAGATAGTAGCAGCGTTAGGAGACATTTACGAGAAGATAAGTGAAAATTTGGGCGCTAAACTGTCGGCGACTAAGGTAAGTTAACCGGGAAGGATTTATCATTGGAGTTTTACCCTAGTGATGTGAAAAACATTGGCGAAAAAATATATTTCACGACTACCGCGAATAGTGGGGTTTTCACACAGTATTACGCCACTTCACGTAAAACGGGTGAAACTCCAATATATGCATGCAGAAGACCTTCGTTCGCACGAGAGTCTTTGATAATATTTGTACTTTTCGTGAGGGTGTATACTAGGATTAGAATTGTTATGAATTTGTTGTTCTCCTAGGTTTTACCGTGTGCGCTGCCTCTTATGGCGAATGAGAATCTATCGTACGAACAGTGGTCGCGCATAAATACAATTGTTAGTGGTATGGTTGAAAGAGTTGCGAATTGGCGAGAAAAAGAGTAAGGTGGAGGTCCCCGATGAGAATATGCACATAGTGAACTACATGTGTGAAAAATTATGATGAAATTATTGGTGTTTTCCAAACACACATGCTTGAATTCATGTGTAAACTTTCATAGTAAGTGTAGAAACTACTGAGCTGAGCTGAGGAAAGGGAAGGTATATTCCTTCAACACTGTTGGTGATTTCTCTTTGTGCAGTTACCGACACCGAACTGATGCCGGCCGGGAAGCATCTGCTGCGCTTGGCGGCTCCGCTCCGCCTCCTCCTCCACTGTCTAGTCGGAAATCAACTTCATCAGCGGGTTCATCGGGGCCGGTGGACTTCGACACGCTTCTTATGGGGGCTGCTGTGCCCTCGGGGGCATCATTATCATCGCATCGGTGAGTGTGGGGAAATATCTGTGTTGGCGATAATATGAAAATGCTGAGGAAATTTTGATAGTTTTTGTACACTTCTACCTGAATTCATATGGGATTTCCTATAATTAGTGAGGAAATTTCCGAGCTGAGCTGGAGAAAGCAGATATGAGTTCGTCCAACACTGGTCGTGCATCTCGTGATTTATAATATATAAATTTTGGGGATTTTTTCATGTACTTCTTCTTGCCGTGCTGTAGCTAGGTCTCGCTCGTTGCGGAACTAAATTCGAAATTGCAAAATTACGGTTCGAGTAGGAATATTTCTTAGAGTTATGGAATTGATAAACATGTTGAATTTAACTCACTTGAGCCGCTCAAGCTGAGCGTGGGTATCGTATGAATATCATAAAGATTGCGAAGCATATCAGTGACACAACTTGTATATAAAGCTTTGAGACTCGAATTTTCACAGGTATATATATGCGTAGTTTTATCTAGGAGAGCGCTGGAAATTTGTTGTTTAGCGTTAATACAAGATTGAAGTTATCGTTTGAATAACTCAGGCCATCTCGAGCTGCGCCGCCACCACCTGTGCAGCCGATTCGACCAGTTGATGAGTTCCCGTTTGCTCCGATGAAAAATCGGAAAAATGAGAACTTCGCTCCGCCTAGTTCAACGAGCAGTTTTACATCAAGTTCGTCACCAGAGATCCCACAGAACGACTTGTTGGGTGGTGCGACTAAGAATACCAGTGTCGATCTGCTCAGCTCTGGCGCGGATGATTTCTGCTTCGCTCCGCCTAAGCAATCGTCTCAGTTGGCTACAATTGATTTGGCTAATCTCTATAGTCAAAATGCTCCCACGAAAATATCTCAGAATTTCGACACTGGCATGTCTCGGTTTGTATCAGCTAATGGGACGAAGACTGGCGCTGATCCGAAGCGGTTTGGTGTTCGAAATTTGGGTGATGAAGACCCCTTTGCTGGGCTTTTGTGAGAGAGTATTCACACTTCGTATTATTGCTAAGGCTGTGTTATTGACCATCGTAGACTGTCGTATTATCGAGTTTCTCGGGTGGTTTTGAGTTATTTAATACTAATAACAAATAATACTAATAATATACTAATACTAGTGTTGGAATATATGTTCGCTTTTCTCGCCTGAGGTCAGGAGTTCTTGTGAAAAATTATAGGGGTTTATATACGAAGTAGGGTAGAAATGTTCAGAAACCGGAGAAAAATTTTCGTAAATTTTGGCAAAATTTTATAATATTGGAGATTCGATCGATTATAGTTCTTACTCCTCCGCATTTGAATGGTTCGGTGGCGGTTTGTGGTAGCAGTGGTTTTCGCGAGCATCGTCGGAATTGACGGTTTGCTGGAGTTCCCCGTTCCTGTAGTCTACCAGAAGTTCTCTGATAAACTTGTGGGGAATATCACACTTGGGGTAAGGGAAACCGCGTGGTGTGTGTTTCTAATGTGATGGATTTATATGGAAGATTTATTGATAAATCGATCCCTAGCCATGTGGGAAAACGTTATAGGTTGCTACATGATAGATGATTGGTTCAGCATGATGTATTAACTGTGTAACTACTGTATTAACCACGATTACTATGGTTCAGCATGATGTATTAACTGTGTAACTACTGTATTAACCACGATTACTATGGTTAAGCATGATGTATTAACTGTGTAACTACTGTATTAACCACGATTACTATGGTTCAGCATGATGTATTAACTGTGTAACTACTGTATTAACCACGATTACTATGGTTCAGCATGATGTATTAACTGTGTAACTACTGTATTAACCACGATTACTATGGTTCAGCATGATGTATTAACTGTGTAACTACTGTATTAACCACGATTACTATGGTTAAGCATGATGTATTAACTGTGTAACTACTGTATTAACCACGATTACTATGGTTCAGCATGATGTATTAACTGTGTAACTACTGTATTAACCACGATTACTATGGTTAAGCATGATGTATTAACTGTGTAACTACTGTATTAACCACGATTACTATGGTTAAGCATGATGTATTAACTGTGTAACTACTGTATTAACCACGATTACTATGGTTAAGCATGATGTATTAACTGTGTAACTACTGTATTAACCACGATTACTATGGTTCAGCATGATGTATTAACTGTGTAACTACTGTATTAACCACGATTACTATGGTTAAGCATGATGTATTAACTGTGTAACTACTGTATTAACCACGATTACTATGGTTAAGCATGATGTATTAACTGTGTAACTACTGTATTAACCACGATTACTATGGTTAAGCATGATGTATTAACTGTGTAACTACTGTATTAACCACGATTACTATGGTTAAGCATGATGTATTAACTGTGTAACTACTGTATTAACCACGATTACTATGGTTAAGCATGATGTATTAACTGTGTAACTACTGTATTAACCACGATTACTATGGTTAAGCATGATGTATTAACTGTGTAACTACTGTATTAACCACGATTACTATGGTTAAGCATGATGTATTAACTGTGTAACTACTGTATTAACCACGATTACTATGGTTAAGCATGATGTATTAACTGTGTAACTACTGTATTAACCACGATTACTATGGTTAAGCATGATGTATTAACTGTGTAACTACTGTATTAACCACGATTACTATGGTTAAGCATGATGTATTAACTGTGTAACTACTGTATTAACCACGATTACTATGGTTAAGCATGATGTATTAACTGTGTAACTACTGTATTAACCACGATTACCATAATTCCTTACATTGTCAGATATCCGAGTCCTTGATCGGTCCCCAAAAGTGTTCCGAAGCCTGCGTGCATTTAGCTGTAGCACAGAGTGCTAGTGAGGCCCCAAACGTGGCATGTAGCCGAGCAGTTGATACAGAAACTTGTGGAGTGTGTATACATGAGTCAATAAAAGCTGATAATTCCTCATCACATTATGTGAGTCTATGTATATATCTGTTACTTACAGTGGTAACTATTTGTTGTTAGTATTTCGCGTTGGATCGCTCACCTGAGCTGACCGGTGGTTTCCGAGGGACCCCGTCGCTGTATGTTTGTCTACGTCAGAGTAATCGAACTCTAACAGGGATATCGCGATCACTGGGAGAAGTGCAGTTTTATGATCCACCGGTGAGTTGAACTTTATGCAATTTGTTGTTTTGGTGGTTTGTGTGTTATTATTTTTATGGACATCGGAGAGTGGTTTTGGTGGTGTTGGTGCGGATGCTAGTCGTAGCTCTCTGGAGCTCATCTTGGTATGAATGTGTGTATATTCATACAGTAATTTAGAAGCATATTCTGACTTCGGCCGTACTGCTGCTTGTAGTATTCTACCACTTAGCCGAACGCTATAAGGTGTCTGAGTCGGCACTTGTTATTGCAGCATTGAAATTGTTATTGTTTTTCTGTTATTGCATCGCGGTAACAGTTTCATTTAAGTGTTACTAATAGTAACAGAGGAGTATAGGTAACTAGTAACTAGCTAGAATAGTAGCCGTTAGTCGCATTCCATTTTTGTATTGGTTTTTCTCCACACATGTTCACAGTATGCTCTAATTTGACGGCTCTCTGTGTGTCACTAGGTGTTGAAACTAGAAGGTCTCTTGCCGAAGAGGAAAATATTTGTACGAGTCGTATTGAATCCAGGTAGGAGGCAATTGCTAGAACTTTGCATAGAGGCAATTCTCTTCGAATTCAGGTTGGCTCGAGCGTTTTGACATTCCATGTCGGAATTGCTCTACTGTGAATCGCTTAGTTGTAAAAGTGCCGCAGTTTAAGGAGGGCGTTGATCGGTGTGACGGGTATTTTCTTGAATAGTGTTTTTCCGGCGAAGTTTTCCTGAGCAGATTCGTGGATCAATACGCGTTGCCGGCAAACATGGCAGGAGACGAAAATGAGCTGACAGAGATTACTGTTGATTCAGCTCGTTTTTGGCTACAAAGTAACGGGGAGGTTTTCATGGTCGTGAAACTAGAAGTGGCACTTAGGTTCGGAGCATGTTTCTGGTCAAGAACGACGCCAGTTTTACCGCAATACGTTCTATCTTTGCTTTTATGAAAGCTCAATGGCTAGGAGTGGGAAACTCATTGGTGAGTAGAAGCTAGCTGTGGTGACACGAAAGACGATTCGATGACAGTGTGGTATGAAAAATGGAGATTTGTCTCCTCTCACACTTCAAGAATTCAGATCAGTTCTGGACATTTTCTAATGGACTGTGTTCGAAGAGAATTCGCGAGAAGGAGCGTTGAACTAGGGGGGCTATTGAGAGTGTATAGAGATGTGGAAGTGATAGGATTACTTGCGGTCCTCTTTCGGATTTAGAAAAGTGACTCAACTGAGCTCTTTGAGCAGGAGAACGTGATTGTTGTATTGCTCGTTATTAAGGACCGTTTTCATTGAACTGAGTCCTTTTTTGATGCTTTTCGACGCAGAAAGTTTTTATGGCATCCTCGAGATGCCTTGATTGTTCTACGACAGGTACTGTGGAATTTCAAGTATCGTCAGCAGACGCGCAAGCTTTCGTGAGTGGTGGAAGTCCTCGTGTTGTGGACATTCCTGTTTGATTATCGGAATTCTATCCGTTTTACGTGAAGTGGAGTAATACTCTGTGAAATTCGCGGTGAAAGACAGCTGTTTGTGAAATATGTTTTTCATATCACTAGGGTGGTTAAACTCCATTATACAGGTAGCATTTGTTATATTGATGGGCATTGGAATGCCGTTGAGCTGCATGGTTACGATACTACTGCATGCGGCGAAGCTGAAGAGGTGTAAAAGAAGGATGAGAGCAATACGGTAAGCAGTTCACTTCATTTTGCGCATGTGTATTTGCGCAGTACAGGTATCACTCACAGCGGCAGCAACTCGATCAAGAGCTTCTCGACAGACAGATGCAACTTGAGAACACGGTAAGGGGGAGGAATTTTGTCACGCGCCACGAAATTATACGTATGTGAATCAGGTCGCATCTGGTGCACCACCTCCTGGTTTTCCGGTTGTGGATTCTCATACGGGCATCTCACCGAGTGGACGCGAATGACCCTTTTATTATTTTACTACTGTAAACAGTTTGATGTTTCATTTTCAAATACTTCTTATTCGGAAACGAGTTCTCAATATCAGCTTGTTATTGATATGAGTGGGTCGTAGTCACAGCTTGTCACAAAAGCGGTTGTCAAAACCGCTTTGTCTGAGTGCACTGTGGGCATACTTCAGTCATACTTGGAGGGAATGAGGATCCGCTCACATTCGCACACGGTTTTTTTTTTGCTCAGAGAACGCTAGGAACGTAATTTTGAACTGTGGATGGCGAGTGGAAAGTACCGAAAACTGTTGTTGATGAGGAATTTTTGAGCAGTGTAGAGAAATGCTCATTCTCATACAGCCACGGGAAATACTCAATCACGTCTCTGTGGTGAGGCGGCGACAACAACACGAAACAGTTCGCTGATTCCCTTGAACTTTGAGTTTAGTTAACTGCTTTCTTTGTAGTGTATAGGCGCTTGTTTGTTGGAGTTTATTTGGATTTTCAACTATTCAAGACGAATTCGATGATCACATTGGCGAGGACGATGATGGTCAGCTCGGTGGCGCTTACAACCATTAGAATCTGCCTGATATTCGATACAAGATATGATTGATATAGCTCACTCACTGTGAGGAGCACTTTTCATTCCGTGCGTGTCTCTATAGGAGGTCATCGCGTTGGCTAGGGAAGACGAATCTGTTGTTATGAGTATATTGCGCAACTACTTTCCGACTCGAGAGTCTCACAGACTAGGTCAATTTTGTATCCATGTTCGACTCTTCCCGGTACGATCCATTTTTTCTGCACTGTTAAGTCTACACACCGTGAAGTTGTCGGTTTATATTGGGAACTTGTGTTTACTATAATCAGTGCATGTTGATAACGAAGTGGCCTCGACAACGAGCTGTGATGGGAGAACATGAATGATGTTCTCAACATAATCCAAGTTGTAGTATTGTCCAGAAATTGTGTCCAAGTTACCCCACTTCACTGTGCTGAACGAATAGGCGACTTCCATTCCGCTAGTAGCTATTGCTGATGCACAACCAAACACAATGATATTCACTCTAACAACACAAACACGGCAGAAATGTTCAAGTTGGTGATTCACCATGCATTTTCAGCATAATCATGAACTCACGCCTAGTGACCTTATCTCGACCATCAAGAGCATTCCTCATGAGAGCAGTGGCATCTGTGAGAGTCACCCCAGCCTCGCCCTGTAACAAAGGGAAGCTCATAAATCACCTGATAAAATGTGCCTACCAATTGTCCCATAACTCTCCTGAGGTCATCACTGTTGATGTAACCTTTGCCGTCACGATCGAGCAACCCATAGGCTTCAGTCATCTGCTCTTCAATGGTTGTTTCTTGCATGTTGGTGGCCTACAGTGAACACTCGGTAGTCTGCGAGGACATCAAACCACATACCAACACACTGAGTAACTTGTCGAATTCGATCCGCCCAGATTCGTCCTGATCAATCTCTTGTAATAATTGTGATATCTCTTGTTCGGTCAAACGCAGGCCGAACATTTTGAGTAACGTCTGAAAAGGAACTCACTTGGCCGATGTGGGTATTAACGTCGTTAATGCAATGACAACCGATATGAAGAAAGTGATGCACATCTCTCACTTGGAAGTCTTCGGAGTCGATCGTCCCACTTCGGCCCTCATCGAATATATCAAAAGCGCCCTTGAGCTCACTGATCTGTTGGGGTGTCAAGAGAGCCTTAACAGAATCGGACATTTGAATGCGAACTGTTGTCCGAGCGGGAAATACTCCCAGCGCAAGTCGAAGGAGCTGTATTAACATCATAGTGAGTTACACAGCGATAAGAAGTGCCTCATGAGGTGAAGAAGCCTCCGAGAATATTGCGAGAATAGCCAGGGTTCGTATTCTTGGAGTGATGATCTCCCTCAATGTTGCCATGAATAGTATCAGCCTTGTGTCTAGCCAGTACGGGAATGGGCGGGTACAGGCCTATTGACGTCTTATGGAGGAATGTCTGAGGCACCACTCAGTTAGTTGAACTTACAGTGATGAATTCACGCAAAGATCGATTCGATCCCAGTGAAGCTACACCAGTATAATTTTATACTGTCATTCGATCAACATTGTAACGTGATAAAGCGATGAGAGCTGTACCTGGTTACGCCATGCCCTGAGCAGTGGAGGGGGATCGGTGTTCATCTTGGGTTGATAGTAACGGCGTTCAGAATGACTAAGAGGGGCTCTGTGTAGACGAGTGCTTGCGAGGGTCCTGAGGATGATGATGAGGTGGGCGCATGTGGTGGTCGCGGAAAGTGTTGAAGTTACTTTCGCAGGATTTCCGCTTTGTGAGCGGTGGAGCGATCGCGAAAGGAAGGGTAGTAAGTCATAGAAGAATTCCCTAAATTCAACGACTTGACGGATCATACCAAAGTTGCGCCGTGATTTAGCGCTCGCCATTGTAATCGATATTGGGGCTGACTCCTAACACTCCTTCATGCAGCTGGGGAGGAGAAGACTACTATGAGGAAGGCCTGTGAGGCGGTCGCTAGTTTGCCATTGAGAATTGTTGCTATGGGAATAGTGATTTGCTGGAGGAGTGGTAGAGGATTTCGTTGCGGAGGTAAATGCGAAGGGAAGGAATCTTAGGTTGACTGTTGGAAGATACGAAACAGGTTAGTTTGGGGACCATGAGTCGCCTCAGTTTTCTCTCCCTCTGTTTTCTGGGTAATCACTCACTAGTACCATGCCGACCGTATCTGTTTTCGAGGACGAGCTAAAGGCAGTTCTAGGTCAGGACCTCACAGAGGAATCCTTCGATCAGCTATGTTTCGAATTCGGCCTTGAATTGGATGAGGTCACCAGCGAGTAACAACGCCGGTCTAATTATGGCATCACTCAAAGGGGCCGTTCAGATACGAAATGTACACTAGGGAACGTGGTTATGACGCCAAAGAGGCCGATAAGAAGTCTAAGCGTGTAATCTATAAAGTTGACGTCCCTGCTAACCGTTATGATCTCCTGTGTCTAGAAGGCCTCACTACTGCTCTACAGGTAATATTATAGGTAGTAGTAATAGGCATGTAGTGGCCTCTGTTTAGGTGTTCAAGGGGCTTATGGCTCCACCCACTTACACTCTCGAGCCCGCTGTGCAGACCGATAAGGCACTGACCATGACTGTAATAACGTCTTGGAGGAGAAGGTCTTCT